GAGGCAGCTGGTCGATGTTTCTCTCTCATCGATGTTTCTGACTCTCTATCTCTCTCCTTTCCTCTCTGTAAAAACTCAATAAAATATATTTAAAAAAAAAAAAAGAAAAAAAAAAAAAAAAATTTTCTGTGAAGGAAAGGAGAGGGATAGAGCAATAGCTACAGGAATTGGGAGGTAGAGGAAAGTTGTGGGTATTATTATTATTTTTGATAGGTGAGACATGGATGAGTTTAAAAGTACATGTGAGGTCTACTAGAGTGGTGAATAAATTAAGGAAAAAGAAGGCATGTAACCAAAGCACAAATGAAGGAAAATCTCTTTCTGTGAAGGAAAGGAGAGTGATAGAGCAATAGCTACAGGAATTGGGAGGTAGAGGAAAGTTGTGGGTATTATTATTATTTTTGATAGGTGAGACATGGATGAGTTTAAAAGTACATGTGAGGTCTACTAGAGTGGTGAATAAATTAAGGAAAAAGAAGGCATGTAACCAAAGCACAAATGAAGGAAAATCTCTTCCATTATAACCAGAAGGAAGATGAATGTGACGGATGTAGTTGTAAGTATGCCCTGCAGTTTGGTATGGGATATGGAGGAATTTATTATTTCATACCTACCACTCTCTCTGTAAAATAGGAGGTAAACTCATTTGCTGAGTATAAGCAGGAAGGTGGCAGGGTTGGAATTTTGAGATGAGTACAGAAAATTTGAAATAGCTATTATTGAAATAAGGAAAAAAGAAAGCTGACCAAAGCAACACGAAGGATTTCAGGTCAGTACTAAGAGCCAAAGTAAGATTAGAGGCCATGAATTTGTGATGTAGTAGTACCAAAATCTTTGGTTATATGATTTTCTCCAGCAGGATTCTGCAACTCAAATATAGGCATGGAAAATGTGGGACTAGATGAGTTGGCCTATTATCAGGATGGTGTGATAAAAAGGCAGTGGGGGAAGGGAACTGTGGTTATTAAAGAAAGTAGCTGAAGTAAAAAATCACAGATTCTAAATAGGCCAAAGAAAGAAGTGAAGGCAGTTGTGAAGACAGTCAGTAGCTGGTAGGTAGGAATCAGAACTTAGAGGTCCCAATGAAGCGGAAGAATAGATGTACTGGAAGAAAAACAGACAACTGTAAATACAGAGATTGTAGTTAGAATCTGTAATGATTTTATTTATGATCTAAGTGTAATAATAAGTGATGGTGAAGTTTAGCATGTGGGCCATGGAATTGGGTGGATGAAGTGGAGTAGAAGTGAGGGTCACTGGAGGAGGATATGGCAAAGAACCAGGAGACTAGATGGCTAGCGTATTAGATGGGTCAGCTATGTGGATGCTGCTAACATCACCAAACTAATGGCAGAAGCAATAAAAAGAATACTGTGAACTTGGAGCCAAAGTCTTCAATGAATGAGGAGATAGGAGGTCAATTCTGGCCTAATGGGCTCCTATTGACCCTTGAAGCCTTGGTGACTATAATGAACAATGTTTCACTGTAGACTTCAGATTCTTTGCAAATGAAGAACTGGTAGGCTGCAGAGGCAGAGAAGGGTCACAGAAATCAACAGGGCAATCCATCACTGAGGCTTAGTAAGTAACTAGCTGGTAAAATCTTCAGGTGGCAACTGCTACATACATGCCTGAACAGAATTAAATGAAGTTAAGCTGGCCCCTTTTCATAAGAGCAGGCATGTCAAAAGAATATAAGGAACTCACCTCTCAGCAATATTTTTTGCAGACTGGAGAAACCGTGCTTGGTCATTTTCTTTCAGGATATGCTCAGCTTGGTTGATGAGGACTGTTGACCGTTCAAGACACTGGCGGCAATTAGCAACCTGCTGTGCCAACTTTCTCAGTTTCATAACCTTATAATAATTAGCAACAGAAAAATAAGAGAAAACATCCAGTGCTTAATTAAAAACAATAAAACAACAGGAAGGAGATCTGCCGCAGTGACTCTAAAAATAAGGCCGATTCACATTAATATCCAATGGTCTCTTTACTAACCATTCACCTTCTCACCCTACCCTCTATGTCTATCGTGCCAAACCCTCCTCCTACCTACAGCCTGCTTACTTACCCTCAACACAGTCATATAGTCTAGATTATCTGCTCCTCTTTTTATTGATAACATTAATTTTTCTGGTCATAAAAGCAATGCGTGCTCATATAGAAAATGTAGAAAATAGCTCTAGCTGGTTTATTCAATGGATAGAGCATCTGCCTGAGGACTGAAAGGTCCTGGGTTCGATTCTTGTCAAGGGCAAGTACCTCGGTTGAAGGCTTGATCCCCGGCCCAGGTCAAGGTGTGTGTGGGAAGCAACCAATCAATGTGTCTCTCTCACATCAATGCTTCTCTCTCCGTGTCTCTCCCTCTCCCTTCCATTCTCTCTAAAAATCAATGGAAAAATATCCTCAGGTGAGGATTGACAAAATCAATAAAGTAAAATATAAAAAGATACCCTACCACTCAGAGATCACCCTACCACCCAGGGATCATTGTTTACATTTTATTGTCAATACATTTTCACATACATGTTTAATAAAAAGTACCTCCTCTTTCTTTATGAGGCTCTACATTTCTATGTATATGTTTTTCCAAGTATCTTTACATATACCTGTGTGCTCACAGATCTGTGTTCCCGAAAACTTCAGTTCCTGTGTTAGCTGGAACCACCCAGTATGGCATAAAGTATTGGTCACCACTCCAGGCTCTCATAACATCTCACATTGTATACACCGCATGAGGTTTTAATCGCTACACTGACCAGCAGACCCACAATTCTAAAACCATATAGATTCATGGAGTCTCATACCTGACTTTCTTGATCATGATTCTTCAGTTCTCAAGCTAAAAGCCTAGAAGTCTTCTCTCTGTCCTTCATCTTTTCTACCTAGTCAATTGATGATTCCCATAATTTCCTTCTAGAGATGCCTGTTATGTTCTTCCCTTCAGTTAGTACTGCCACTTCTCTGGGTTACGTCTTCATAAACTTATACCAAGAATCATTCCATAAGTCTCTGAACTTGCTTCCTATATAACCCTGCACACCTCTGTCATATCAATCAGTCTTTTCTCTTCCTAAAAAACTAGAATGGTTTACCTATGTCTTTTATATTAAGCCCAAAGTCCTTATAGCATTCATGGTCCTTCCATAATTCTGGCCCATATTCCTACCACTATATTTTTTCTTATATTGACTTATACTAGTAACATACATACAGCAAAGCACCCAAATGTGAAGTGAGCAACTCAATGATTTTTTGCATATACAGATACCCATGTTACTACCAACCAGGTAAAGATAAAGAATGTTTCCAATGCCCTAGAACTGCCAGCATTTTTATGGGATTCGCAGCATTAAGCCAAACATTGCTTCTTTGCCTCTCTCCCTAAAACCTCATTTCTTCTTGCTTTCATGATCCAAATTCAAACTAGAATCTTCAGCATAAAACCTTAACTTTTGTAAAGTCAACTTTGCCTTGACCTCACTGAAGTGCTGTGCTTTACCTTTGTCTCTTTGATTTTGACAGCAATCATTTGCTTCCTCTGCTGGATGATCTCTACCAACTCGTCACATTCTTCCATAAGTTTTGCCTCATGCATAGCAGTATTCACCTGCCAAGAAAGTCCAGAATATTACACAGTGATTGCTGCCTTTGTCCTCTGCTGGATCTCTGAAAGGTTCAGACTGACAGCAAAACATGCACAACTTCTTCCATACCTCCCTCATAAGATCCACTCCTAGAGGAAGGGTAGAGATGATGATATTAATGATGCAAGGGCATTGAAGCACCACAGACAGGAAACTCTCCGGCCTCTGGTAGATCATGATGATTAATGGAAGGCTGGGCAGAAGGACAGATGAGATGGGGGCATATTATTCCCAGTGTGCAATTCCCATTACTCCAGCACCCTGTCCTCCTGCTGTTCTTTTGGAAAGAGGGTAAGGAAATTTAAGTACGGCAGGGAAAGCGTATTCCTCTTCACAGGAGCAATGATATCAAGATAATATTACAACAACATATTTCTACCATCCTAACAAAAATGTTTTCAGTTTTCCTTATTCCCTTCTAATTTTAAAATATATGAATGTACAGCTATATATTCACAATAAATACATGAGTGTAGATAAATTTTCACATAGTTGTCATGTCTCAGTAGATATTTCTCACCTTGAGCTGTCCAGTATCTGAATATCTTTCTGGTTTGGGGACACTTGCTACATCAAAGTATTTCCATTGCAAAATCAGGGTGGGATTAGGGAAAAAGAGCCATCATTGTTGATTATTTTTCTATATACTTATTTTTCCTTCTTTCCATCTCTACTAACACTAGATGGCATGAAGCTCCAAAAAGGGTTAAATGAGAGCAGGGGATCTTTGGGCTACCCAAGTGTAAAGGAAAAGGAAAGGGAAATCAACTTACATCTTTTAAACACTTAATGTACCAACTACATTATAGATAAATTATTACATGTAATTATCATAAACACTTTATAATATAGAGCCATTTTATCCCCATTTTGCAGATGGGGAAACTGGGGCTCAGAGACTTTTAGTGACCTGCTCAAGATCACACAGCTAGTAAGTGGTAAAACCAAAATTCAAACTGAATTCTATCAAGCAAGACCCTTGGGCTGGCTGGGTGGGCAGAGGAGGTTTAGTTCCATTTCAGCAGCACACAGAGCAGTCACACCAGGAAGCACAATCATTCCAAGAGTCTATTCAAGGATCACTCAAACAGAGCTCTAGAATGCTGAGGAACAGACAATGGGTTACTTGAGCATCAAACGTCAAGGGGCTAGATGAGCTTCATTAGCAAGGTAGAGCTGCATTTCCAATTGCTAGCTCTCTTCATAGAGTTACTTCATATATTCTCAGAAAAATACCTGTCACTGGACTCGGCTGCCTCCTCTCTTATCCTCTAAGGTCCCCAATTAGCCAATTTTATGTTTTATTCTTAACTGAAATAAAATGTGCTTGCTGAATTTCAACCTTATTTTGTTTTATTTCCATTTTCAAGGGGGAATGCTAAAATGAGAGTTTCCACTTATTCTGAATGAACAGTCCCACGCTGCCCATTCTAATTTTTTTCTGATTCCTCACCCTTTCCCTAAATTGGATCTACCTTTCCAAGGAAATAATCTCACCCTCTCAAGGAACTCCTACTCATGTGAGAATAAGAGATGCATCTATTCATCCAGTGCTCCCTGGATCTGTGCTTAGAGTATCTGGAGACTTAGACTATTCTTATTTATAGTTTCTTTTTGAGGCTGCTGATGGTGTAGGTTTAGTGTCTTGTGTCTTATAATTTAGGCTTTGGAATAACCTTTACATAATACTCACTATATGCCAGGTACTGTCCTAATCAGTTTACATGTACAGTCAGCCCTCCATATCTGCATGTCCGGCATCCTTGAATTCAACCAACCACAGATTGAAAATATTCGGGGGGAGGAGGGGCAGTTACATTGTAGCCCAGCCAGTGTGGCTCAATTGGTTGAGCATCATCCATGCAGCAGGAGGTCACTGGTTGAGTTCCAGGTCAGAGCACATGTTTCTATCTCTCTCTACCTTCCTTTCTCTGAAATCAATAAAAACATATTTTTAAAAAATGTTACATTGTTGCTGATGTGTACTATGTAGTTAGGCCTATGAGGTTGCATCTGTGCTGAACATGTACAGACTATTTTTTTCTTATCATCATCCCCTAACCAATACAGTATAATAACTATTTACATAGCATTTACATTGTATTAGGAATTATAAGTAATTGATTATTTAAAGTATAGGGGAAGATGTGTGTAGGTTATATGCAAATACTATGCCATTTTACATACGGGTCTTGAGTATTCACAGATTTTGGTATCTGTGAAGGGTCCTGGAACCAGTCCCCTACAGATACAACTGTAGTAGTTCTTTCCATCACCAAAACAACTCAATGAGGCAGGTACCATTAATCTCATTTTACAGTTGAGAAAACCTGAGCACAAACAAAGTGATTTGCTCAAGGCCACACCTCTAGTAAGTGGCAGAGATGGGATTTGGAGCCAGGATATCCAACTGGAATCTACACCTGTTTTTAAAAGTTTTAAATATGTTTTTACTTATTTCAGAGAGAAAGGGAGAGGGAGTGAGAGATAGAAACATTAATGATAAGACAGAATCATTGATCGGCTACCTCCTGCATGCCCCCTACTCGGGACTGAGCCCACAACCCAGGCATGTGCCCTGACTGGGAATCAAACCATGACCTCCTGGTTCATGGGGCAACACTCAAGCACTAATCCATACTGGCCGGGCATGTGGGCATGGAGTCCACACCTTTAACCATCACACTATACTTCCTCCCAAGATGAGTGTAACAAAATCCCTATCTTTAATTTCTGACCATTGTTCCTTCTTTTGTACATCCATCTTTATTCTGTCTTCCCATTCTCTTTAGTCATTTCATACTACTGATTGTTCCCCTACATTCCTTGTACCTCCGTGTCTTGTGCCTTTACTCAAGACACTCCTTTAAGTCATTTCTCTCTTTGTTTATTGAACAAAGCTCTATTTATCTTTTCAGGTCCTGGTCAAAGATCACTACTTCCATAACTATTTCTCAGCTGCTTTTAAAAAACAATTGGTCTCCTGCCTAACTGGTTTGGCTCAGTGGATAGAGCGTCGGCCTGCGGACTGAAGGGTCCCAGGTTTGATTCCGGTCAAGGGCATGTACCTTGGTTGTGAGCACATCCCCAGTAGAGGGTGTGCAGGAGACAGCTAATCAATGTTTCTCTCTCATCGATGTTTCTAACTCTCTATTCGTCTCCCTTCCTCTCTGTAAAAAATCAATAGAATATATTTAAAAAATAATTGGTCTCTTATTTATATTCCTATAATACTTTATATGTAAGTTAATTATACTATTTACTGCCTTATGTCATAGGTATTCATTAGTCTGTCTTTTCTACTCAAACATGAGCTCTGGTGGCCAGGGGTTGTGTTTTATTTGCCAGCATAGTGAGTGGCATATGGTTGATGTTCAGTAAATATTTGTTGAATTGAATGAGAGGAGAAATGCATCTCACTGCTTGCTAGACATGTCCATGTGGTTAATCGTTACCCTAAACTCAGTATGTCTAAAAAGAAACTCATCATCTTCCCTCTAAATCTGACCTTTATTCCTGATTTTCTTTTTTTGTTAATGTTCCTATCATTATTGCAGTTTTTCAGGTTTAGTTACCTGTGACTGCTTCTTCTCTTTCTTCCCCCACATAAATCCATAGCAGTCCCAAGTCCTTCCATCCTTTTCTTTTTCATTTCACTAAGTTCTTCTGGTAATACAATGAGGCTCTGAGCCAAGGGACCAATAAGTTGCAGTTTGTATCACCCTTTAGGGCTATTATTGTAAAAACCTCATTAATTCATCCCCCTATCTCCATAATCGTCCCTTTGCCCCATCCTATACCAAGAAACAAAAAAAAAAATGATCATCTTCATCATCAAACATGTATTAATCATGTCTTTTGTGCAATGCCCTCAATAAATTTGCTATCTGGCTAGTGAAAAGCCTTACATATAAAACAAATAAGTCAAGGTAGCATAAAATAAATACCACGGAGTGCCGGGGTCCAGCCCCAGTGGTCCAGGGATTCCCAAAGGTGTGGACGGAGTTGTCGAAGAATGATTTACACGGAGACAGCGTTCAGAACTCTTTAGCTCCCTTTAGTCTCCGTGGATCTTCCTGTGCCTGGCTGAGGCCACAGAGAAAGATCCTGAGGCAAACTGAGACTTTATTTTCATAGTCAGAGGTAAACATCATTTTATAGTCAGAGGTAAACAAGGTAGTGGTCACCACAGTCACACTGTTCTTGTGAGTTTCACTTGTTTTTGTTCTTGCTGCACTTCCCTCAGCCCATTAGCTTCCCAGGTAAGATCTAGGGAGCGTCATAAGGTCAAGCCTAATTATGCTTAAGAGGACTCTGCCCTTTAAGCTGGGACTTGTTTGTGACTTTGCCAACCGGTCAGTCCGAGGCTTAACACTATATCGGCTCCCCACAACGGAGTGATCTAGATTATAATCTATAGAAATTAAAGAAAAAGATAATTCTTCGTGGGAAAGTAGAGAAAAATTGCCTGAATGAAATGTGACTTGAATTGAGCCTGAATGATGGATAACACACAGATTAAAAGAAGAGGAGGGAAATTTTGAGCCAAGCTAATATGATTGAGCCTCGTTCTTTAGTTAATATGGTATCTTTTTAAAGTATTTTTTGGAAGAAGGAGGGTAAAAGGGTCATAGAATGACCATAGTTAACTTTTTAAAAAGATGTACTGGGTCCAGATCCACGATGGTGGTAAAATAAGTGGTTGTTACATTCACCTCCTCCCAGGACCAAACTGGAATTACAATTAAAATATAGAACAATCAACCTAAATAACCAATTGAAGAATAACTGAATAGAAGACTTATAACCAAGGATTTATAGAAGTCACATTGAGACGGGTAGAAAGGGCAGAAACGTGAAAAGGGCTGGCCCTACTCCCATGGAAGGTAGCTGAGGTTCTGGAGAAATATCTCAGCAGCAAAGGTTCCCTCTGAGCAGTTGGAGTCTCAACTGCATGCTGGAC